ATATTGATAGAATTATTATTCATGTTTTCATTTATCATGCTTTATGCTTTTATTATTATTAAAGATTGTTTTCATTTGCCGTGTTTTATGCTTAATGATTTTACCATTCCAATGCTTAAACAGTTGCTGTATTGTAAAGTCCCCTCATGAGACTTTAAGGGTGTTAAAATCGGACCTAATGTGACCCAAGGATGACCTGTGGAGATCTGCCGATCTGTCAATTGCTGACTCGTGCAACTGCTTGCTACTCATCGTGTGATTAGACGCTGAAAGTTCTTTGTGTAATAATGAATACTCTTAGTTTGAAACTTGTAACAATTAAAGACTGAGAGCTGTAATTCTCAATTCGTACTTGTATTTCTTGTTTTGTAACAGGGACGTTGTATTTTGTAACTAGCAGACGTTTTGTAACTAGCAGACTTCCAAATTGAAAAAATCTATGTACATGTTTGAAATCAAAACTCTCAAAACACACATTTCATTCTATAGGTACAAACCTCAAATCTACAGTGTTACGAATCTTTTTGTCTCGATTCTAGCGTCAGTGGGAGGAACTTGGGTGGAACCAATGAGAGCACGAGTCTTAGCTACCAATCACGTTACTCGAATTCCTGTCCAATCATTGGGAGAGGAGGGCAGGGTTCTGTCTGTCAGAGCTGTAGAGAGTTACAACACTCCAATAGACTCCTATGGAATGGGGAAGTCACGTGGTTCATGTAGCTTTGAATAGTTCCAAACGGCCCCCACTGCTGCATTGACTGCAGTTCATTTTCGGTGTTTCGGAAGGATTTTCTCTGGTAAGTTGATGAAATGTCATCATTTTGTTGCATTGTGAAGCGTTAGCTAACAGCTTCGTGCCAAAATAAGCCAACGACGATATTTTATGTTCCCAGTTTTAGCTAGATAACCTTTAATGAGCTAACTGTGTGCAGCTGTGTTTATGTAACAGATGCTGAGTCGTGTTATATGGTGACTTAGGTGCATAAACCTGACAGATATAAACACTGATAAACATGGCCTCTCACTAGTATCTTTTAACCACCTACAACATGGCAAACTGGACGGACGCAGAGACCATGGAGCTTTTGGCCGTGTGAGCGGATGAACAGATTAGTCACCTTTTTACGGGGACGGTGAGAGACAGCCAGCTGTTCGACAGAGTGGTGAAAACACTGGCTGAGTGGGGCGTCAAGCGGGACAAAAAGCAGGTCACATCAAAGCTAAAGATCCTGAAAAAGAAATTTCATCAGTCTGACGTGTCTTCCGTCTGACGCTGAATGTGCAACCATGTACGTCACATGCGGGGGGGTGGGGGTGGGGCAGCAACCTCCCTTTATCCCGTCTTGGTTTGAGAGGTGCCTGATGCCAGTTTATTCTAGCTTCAGCTTTAGTACTATAAATGCCAAAATCCTCCCCAGGGAGCCACGGCAAATCCCGTTTTGCAAACGCTATGGTCCTATAAAAACAGTCATAGTGAGATACACCTTAGATATGGAGCTCCAAAAGGGGGTGTCACTAAAATTCCATTCTTGTCTATGAGAGAAAGTGTTTTCAATTGTCTTGTTAATTTTGTCTGTTGTATAATGTAAAAAAAGTAAAACTATTGCATTTGTGTAGCCCTTCTATAATTCAGGGACTCCCAAGCACTTTACAGTACAATCGCACACACACACATTTACACACTGATGTGATTAGCAACCTTGTAGTCACAGCTGCCCTGGAGGTACACTGACACAGGCACCAACAATCCCTCCGACCACCCCCAGCAATCACAGAGGGTTAAATGTCTGGACCAAGGACAAAACAGCTCACACGGACTGAGCCATAGTTTGAATCAGCAACCCACCTGTTACAGGGCAAACTACAAACCTCCAAGTCACCATTGCTAGAACAGTACAGTACAGTATTCCACATCCATTACTCCTGTTGCATATTTCAAAAATGAACTAAAACAATGACAGAAAAACTACCAAGATGCAAAAATTGTCTTGATGAATTTACTAGACCAGTAAAAAAAATTATATATTTTAAAATCAATATTAGCTTTAGATTTCTAAATACAGGGAGTGCAGAATTATTAGGCAAGTTGTATTTTTGAGGAATAATTTTATTATTGAACAACCACCATGTTCTCAATGAACCCAAACAACTCATTAATATCAAAGCTGAATGTTTTTGGAATTAGTTTTTAGTTTGTTTGTAGTTTTAGCTATTTTAGGGGGATATCTGTGTGTGCAGGTGACTATTACTGTGCATAATTATTAGGCAACTTAACAAAAAACAAATATATACCCATTTCAATTATTAATTTTTACCAGTGAAACCAATAGAACATCTCCACATTCCCAAATATACATTTCTGACATTCAAAAACAAATCAGCGACCAATATAGCCACCTTTCTTTGCAAGGACACTCAAAAGCCTGCCATCCATGGATTCTGTCAGTGTTTTGATCTGTTCACCATCAACATTGTGTGCAGCAGCAACCGCAGCCTCCCAGACACTGTTCAGAAAGGTGTACTGTTTTCCCTCCTTGTAAATCTCACATTTGATGATGGACCACAGGTTCTCAATGGGGTTCAGATCAGGTGAACAAGGACGCCATGTCATTAGTTTGTCTTCTTTTATACTCTTTCTTGCCAGCCACGCTGTGGAGTACTTGGACGCGTGTGATGGAGCATTGTCCTGCATGAAAATCATGTTTTTTCTTGAAGGATGCAGACTTCTTCCTGTACCACTGCTTGAAGAAGGTGTCTTCCAGAAACTGGCAGTAGGACTGGGAGTTGAGCTTGACTCCATCCTCAACCCGAAAAGGCCCCACAAGCTCATCTTTGATGATACCAGCCCAAACCAGTACTCCACCTCCACCTTGCTGGCATCTGAGTCGGACTGGAGCTCTCTGCCCTTTACCAATCCAGCCACGGGCCCATCCATCTGGCCCATCAAGACTCACTCTCATTTCATCAGTCCATAAAACCTTAGAAAAATCAGTCTTGAGATATTTCTTGGCCCAGTCTTGACGTTTCAGCTTGTGTGTCTTGTTCAGTGGTGGTCGTCTTTCAGCCTTTCTTACCTTGGCCATGTCTCTGAGTATTGCACACCTTGTGCTTTGGGGCACTCCAGTGATGTTGCAGCTCTGAAATATGGCCAAACTGGTGGCAAGTGGCATCTTGGCAGCTGCACGCTTGACTTTTCTCAGTTCATGGGCAATTATTTTGCGCCTTGGTTTGTCCACACGCTTCTTGCGACCCTGTTGACTATTTTGAATGAAACTCTTGATTGTTCGATGATCACGCTTCAGAAGCTTTGCAATTTTAAGACTGCTGCATCCCTCTGCAAGATATCTCACTATTTCTGACTTTTCTGAGCCTGTCAAGTCCTTCTTTTGACCCATTTTGCCAAAGGAAAGGAAGTTGCCTAATAATTATGCACACCTGATATAGGGTGTTGATGTCATTAGACCACACCCCTTCTCATTACAGAGATGCATATCACCTAATATGCTTAAGTGGTAGTAGGCTTTCGAGCCGATACAGCTTGGAGTAAGACAACATGCATGAAGAGGATGACATGGACAAAATACTCATTTGCCTAATAATTCTGCACTCCCTGTAAAAAAAAGCCAAAACTTTCAGCAGGAGGGCAGGTAAGTGTATCGTGGGGAAGATAAGACTGTTCTGTGAGTCCCTGAGACATCTAAGAGCTCTTCCAGGCTCCCATCAGTGCTCCAGCACACTCCTCCTTACATTTTTAATATAACCACACACACAACAGCAGACGGCAATGATGAGGTACCAGCTGAAGCAATGAATGAAAAGCTGAACTTAGACTCTGCACTGCTTTTTAAAATACTTTTAGGGCAATTTGCCTTTATTAGACATGCAATGAAAGGTGACAGGAAACATGGCGTGAGAGGGTTATGGTGTAAAACACTCTCAGCAGTATATTGAACTGTGGAAGCTGCTATCATGTCATGTTTGTCCCACCTATCAAAACAGATTGTCTGAATTTGTATAATTAAACTTTATCTGTGTCCTTTACTTCAGTTTGACCTGACATTAAGGGACTATATTTGAATAGTTTGGGTAAATGGCCTTCTTAGAGTTTCATGAGGACTTTCTGCCTGTGTTTCTGTTAGTCACGGAGGAGAATGCACTATGCTTTACATTTGTGTCCTTAATTTGATGTCTGTTTTAGTCATGCGAGACCTGCCTCCTGGGCTCTAACGCATAACTGTAATTAGTAAAAATGAGCTCCTCAATCATGCATAAAACTGCTGACTCCATGCAGATACACAAGAAGAGGAGAACAGTATTTAATAAACCATATTCTCAATCACCAAACAATATTTAATGCGTTTATCAGAATCCAAATGCACTGTGCCAAGCCGCAGAGGAGCAGATCTCATAAATGTTTGCATGAACACTAATGATTCTTCGTTCATTACAGCTGACACATTTAATCTGCTAACAAGGTGCGTAAGCATTTAGGTAATTAATTGAGGTTTTTTTTAAGTACAAGATAAAAGGAAACACATTTCACACACTTAAAGCTCTGTTCTGCTAAATCTGGATCTATCAAATTGTGTCAAGTTTGCCAACTGTTGTGTGAAGATTGTTATAGCTATGTTTAGAGTTCCTGAAGATGTAAAAAAAACAGCCTTATTTAGAGGTTATTTACATTCAAGAGAAAAAGTCAACACATTTAATATCATTAATTAGCAAATTAGCAACCAAAGCAACAGAAAAGAGACTCCTGGAACTCACACAGCTACGCAATATATGAAAGCTGCCACTATGTTAGTCATTGGCAACTGTTTTCACATTGTTTGCGAAAATAAATTACAGTTGAAATATAGAATTAGCAAAGCAGGCTTTTTGTTTAATTTTTGTGAACTCTGATTCTCTAATCTAACCAGCTTTTATTGTAAAATCTCTGATTTATTTTGGGTTTTCTGTTAGAAAAAAACTTTTATTCCATTAAGTCTTGTGCGACTCACCGTCTGATATGTAATGATGAATTTCATCATGTGGCCCACAGGCATGTTCTGGGTGAGGAACTCCCTCATGCTGGGCAGCGGCGGCTGGTACTGGATCTTTGCTGTTGGGAAAACAAAATTATAGCATGTTTTTTAATGGCAGCACATTATTATTAATGTCAGTTATCCATCTTATATCTGAGTTGACTTATTTTTCTGCTAAGGTCTGATATTCATCACTAAAGTGTCAAAAAATTATGCTAAATCTGATTCTGTCCAAAGATATTCAATGGTGTCTTATAGGGATGTGTATTGGTGAAATTCTGGTGATACGATACGTATCACGATACAGGGGAGACGATACGATATTTTGCGATACATTCAGCCGGACAATATTAGCAATGTTTTCAGTCTGAATTAATTGTAGGAAAATTCAAAAGTCCAAACTGATACGTAACATGTTCAACATGAGGTACCTGAACCATAATAGAGGGATTTACATTTACACACTGCTGCCAACTAGCAGTCACCATTTAAATTGCACCAAAAGAAAAGAAAATACACAAAAGTTTGCATATAAATTCTTCCAGAAGTTCTATACACGACTTTTGAATATCAATATACCGTATTTTCCGGACTATACGCCGCTACTTTTCTCACGCTTTGAACCATGCGGCTTATAATGAGGTGCGGCTTTAGTCAACCAGAAAGGATGGATGCTGGGAAGTCTAATGAAGGAATGGTTAAAGAAGTGCTACGGAAAGCGCCCAGGAGGATTTTTTTCACGGTAAAACGGTGCTGCTTGTTTTCCCAGCTTTACCCCGGGATGATGACAGCAACACGGTGAGCAACACTGACATCGCCACAGAAAAGGTATGTGACGAAGCTCTTCCGAGGCTGTTCAACTCCGACACTGAAGAAGATGACTTCAGTGGTTTCAGTGCGCAGGAGGACGATGAATAAACTAATCAATAACTTTTCTGTTTTGTTTGATACTGATCAGTTCAGTTACGTTCAGTTAAACTACGTTTTCAATTCAGTAGATATCTGTGCGGCTTATATTGAGGTGCGCTCCATAGTCCGGAAATTATGGTAATTTGCAGGGAAAAAAATCATAATTTATTGCCATATCGATATCTTCTTACATCCCAGTTGTCTTATCCTGGACCTCAAAGCCCACTATTGTGCATGGTTTAGATTTTTCAAAGCTCTTATGCAACATGCAAGGAGCTGGTCACCACTGTTTTCACACCCAGTGTCTCTCCTGCATGCTAGAGGTTTCCCTGTTTCAACACATCCATTTCAGTTGTTCTGCAGAAATCTGTTAACCCTTCATTTGTAGCACAGGAAAACCAAGGACTCAAGGACTGGATTTTGGTGACCAATAGTCTAGACTACAGAGACTATTCCACATGTAGAATTTCAATAATAATAATAATAATAATAATAATAAATTACATTAAGTATATAGTCATCACTGACCTACAGGAAAAAAATTAAACTTAACAATCAAACTTTTCATTGTTTTCTTCTGGGTGTTGAAGTTAATGGGTGAAAAGCTAAAGAGTCATTTAGAAATAAGGCTGGTGGTAACACTTGGCAATGGGATTCAGAGATCCTAAATCAAAATCACTTTTTATCATTGTAATCCTCGCATGACTGAAAGATGTTTAAGATAGTTTTGAATGATTTTTGTCATTATTATTGCAAATCAAAAATTGTCCCCATCTTAAACAGATAACCCTCTCCTTTGACAATAGTACATGTTTTCTAACATGGCTGATATTCATCAGACATGTGGAGCAAATATTTTAATTAAAAGAGGATCTTTTTAATCAATTTATGATGAACAGCACAATCACAATAACATATCTGTTGATCAGGCTTAATAAGTAAATCCCCATGAATTAAGACTACTTTCTTGTTGCCTGACTTCAGAGTACTAATCACAGAACATAAATCTGTAAATGTTTCATCTCACTGCTGTAAAAACAGTTAAGTCACTTCCTCGTCACCTTGATGAGGCACCAAGGTAGGCATGGAGAAAAAAGCTGGACTGTTTCTGCACCTCTGACAGGTGAAGCAACATCTGGCCAAAAGCCAAGCATTTAACTAATGAACCAGAGGAAGACACGAGACATTATTTCTATACTGTCAAGAGCCTGTCAGTAACTTCAAAAGAATTCTTTAATGTGAAACAAATATTCATGAGCTTCAAGCAGTCACATTGATTAATAGTGAAATGATAAATGGCACAAAACTAATTTGACACCTAGATATTTAAATGACAACACTGCACATGACATAAGGCCTGTCAGGTGGTGCTAAATTCATAGTCTTCATTGTTTGGGTTCATTAAGCCCCCCGCCATAAAAAGCTAAATAGGAAACTATGAGACTTTCTTGTAGAAAACGTCCACCAGTTGAAAAAATAATGGGGATGTTTCTCTGTATTCTTTCAGGCAGCCATCAACTGTTGGTAGGTCTTTGGCTTGAGTTTCACTTTTAGCACCTTCTGAGGACTTTATCGATCACAAATGTCCATAACGCCACAGGGGAGACACAAAACCTGTTTTTGTCTGACAAACAGGACAGAGTTCTTGACAAATGACAAAAGATCCTCAAACTTAAGTGGCCTTCGTTTATACAGCACGTAGAGGAGCAGTTAGAGGAGCCCCAGATCCTTCATCTCCTGAGACACTCATCACCCAAACACCCATGCTCTCACCCTTAAAGGATGGAGGATAGTTAAAGTGCTCACAAACATGACACAAGTGGGTGCTTTCTGCAAAATTCACATTTGATATTTTCAAATTAGGTTAATGATGTATTGTTTGGAAGCTCTCGGGGTTTGAGGGGACTGACAAGATAAAGGTGAGTAGTGTGAGATCAAAGTGGATTGAAGTTGAGTTAAAATACCCCTATTAATAAAATGTCCATAGTAATTTCATGCGTATTGTATTTAAAAGCTATTTTTTCACTATATCTGATGATTTATGTACAATTCTAGTTATTTGCAAGATAATAAACTAACAGCAGCCGCTAGCTGTACTGTATGTAGCTTTTCAATGCGGTCTCCAGCAACGCTTGGCAGGAATATCATAAGTCTACTGTAATAATTGTGTGATGTCAAATTCATGGAAGGTTTAAACATTTTTAAAATTGCATTTTCATAACCCTGTATGTAAAATATGAAACTAGAATCGCTTTAAAATGCTAAAGCTTTGCATCAACCGGTCATTCGCTTCAGTCTGGGCAAAGGAAAACTATTCACCCCAACTAAGACTGTCGTCATCTACGACAGGTAAGATGCTAACCTTTTTCAACCTTTCAATATGAGCACGCTTGTAAAGATTTTAAATATTTATTCTTTAAGGTGAAATAATCCACGAGTTAATTTAAATTTATCTGCGTGAAAATTTTGCAGCCATGAATCTTCATATTTGTTATTGAAGCTACAATAGCAAATCTTGAAGACAAGCTAGCTTAAAACATTATTTTCATGCCTCGTAACAACATTATAACACCGTAAAGCCATAAATAAATTGTGGAGATAGAAAAAATAATCTTGCATTTGTCTAAAAACCTCAGCCAATAGTAACGGAACATCACTGATGTGAGAGGTTCTCCGCTCGGTAATATCAGAGAAGAAACAGCTAGCTGCTACCACTTCAACTTTATGACAAACTACCAGTACCAAAAAGAAAAACACCATTTGAAGTCACAAACAACATAAGACTTTTGGACTTAGAAAACAGAGACTGGTATTTGCTCAGTCTGTAGCTTTTATGTCAGAGTGAAAAAAGAGACTTGGAAAAGGCTGCAGAAAGCGAGGAAAAACATGCTTGTGCAATCATTGACTCCACCCCCTAGCCAGTCAATGGCCAACAGTCTTCCTATGTCTGGTTTTACCCAGTTTCGTATGCTTGGAACCACACCAAAGTTGATTATTAAAAAAGGACAGTAAACCGGTACCTGTGGAAAATATTTGGAACCACGCTGCACTGACTCAAGCAGCGCTGAGAAGGTGCTAGTGGGAAAAGGGACATTAGATGCCAGACCAGTCACATCACTAACTAATTCACTGAGACATCAGCCAAATGGTCTATTGCTAATATCTCAAGCTAGACAATCCAGGACATCTCAGATGTTTTTTGTCCTTGTTCTGACTGGTCACAGTTGTTTTAGTAGAAAAAAAGGTACCTAGTTAATATTGTGCTGGTGTTCCCAATGTTTTGGCTGCCTTCAGCTCTAGATGCATCAAAATGCAATAAATTAAATATGTTTGCAAGAAGATACCGTATTTTCCGGACTATAAGCCGCTATTTTTTTCCCAAGCTTTGAACCATGCGGCTTATAATGAGGTGCGGCTTTACTGAAGATTTTCCTTCACCTGCCAGGGGGCGCATTAAGTGAAACAGGTGGAAGTCAAAAGTGGAAATCGAAGAAAGTGCTCATTTTAATTTAGCACATGCAAGCAGCCGGCCCGATGAAGAATTTTTTTCAAATCCATACCCCTCATCATGGTAACTACACGTATGAGTTCACATGATGCCGCATTTAAGTTGAAGGCCATCGATCTGGCAGTAAAGGAGGGAAACAGTGCTGCCGCACGTAAGCTTGGCATGAATGAATCCATGGTTCTGCTCTGGAGACGGCAGCGGGAAGAACTCATTCAAGCCAGCTTCACCCGGGATGATGACAGCAACACGGACAGCGACACTGACATCGCCACAGAAAAGGTATGTGACGAAGCTCTTCTGAGGCTGTTCAACTCCGACACTGAAGAAGAGGACTTTAATGGCTTTAGTGCGCAAGAGGAAGATGAGAGCGAATGACTTTTTCTGGTAGGCAAGTGTGTTTTATTTACTAACCAAGCATGTTTTGTGTGCAGTTTTTTATTTTCTAATCATCCAGGGCTTATTAATGCTGTGTCAGCGCTGTTCTTCTAAACATGCATGCAAATAACCGGTAATAACATCTCAGTTCTGTTTTTATTTTATAACCATCCAGAAATATGAATGCTATCAGTGCTGTTTTCTTTTCTAAACTTGCAGGCACGTTCACCCGTGTTTAAAATTTCTTTTCTTGAATTAAAACAACAACGAAAAACCTCCGTGTAG